GGGGAGGGAAGCACTTGTTGTTTTAGTGGAAGGTGCGGGTGTTTATATATGTTCAGAACATTGGAAATGAATATGACCATAAATTAAATGTATAAGATTACTCTGAAGCTATTTCAATTTATTTTCATGTGTGTAGGTATAACGAGGTACAAATGTTAATATAATTTTTCTCTTTTCCAATAACTAATCTTATCAGAGAAGTAGTCTTCTAGCTTTTTTCTTCGATAAGATATCTATGACGTGGTCAGGATCGACAGCAATATCCCAGTGAATGGAGATCATAGCGAGAGAACTTAATCTCTCATGACCCATTACACTTCGAGGTAAAGTTCTGATCCTTTTCATGGTGGAGAATGATCGTTCTACGCTAGCCTTTGTCACTGGCAGAGTGGCTAAAATGGTGAGAAGAAGTTTCATACCGCGGAAATAATTTCCTTCGCAATACTCCAACAGTTTCAAAACCTCGGATGATTTGTCAATTGACGATACTTTTGCGCTCCACAACCTATATTCTGCTTTCACTGCCGTTGACGACATCTGATCTTCAAAGTATGATGCTAAGTTGTCTAGCTCATCTGCTTTACTTACATCAGCAAATCCTGGGAGGAGAAGTTGGAAGGTCGGTAAAACATCTTCGTTTTCGAGGAATCGTTCCGTAAAATTTTCAACTAAGGAGTCAATGCACGGAAGGAATACTGTAATTCTGAAGTAAGCTTCGCTCGATGCAGTTTGCGGATTGGCACGGTTTGTTTGACGTGATACAAATCTTGGAGCACGGATTTCGCTGTCAAAAAAGTCTTTAGCTAGGTTTGATGCGGAAGAGAAGATTTGTCCAAAGAAATCATCAGCAGATTCTCTAATGTCCCGCAACGACTGTATTATTTCTTTCGTGCGATTTATAGCGGAGATGAAATCCAAAGACTTTTCCTGCAGAAATACTGACAGTGGTAGAGTTAAACTTAGCAGTTTTTCACATACCAAAAGGCCCACGATAAAGTCACTTTTTTGAATCGCAGCAATAAGAGCAGATGCTGTAGAAGATACAGACCATGTTTTGCCAGCTATTTCCTCCAGACTGATGGCAATGCATTCGAAAAGTTCCATGAATGAGATTATACTCTCATGTCTTTCAATAAATCTAGTTTCACAAAGGCGGAGCAGTCGCTTTTTTTTACTGTCCGGAGCATACTTTTGAACGCTTTTCTGGAAGATCTTGTTTGCGTTTGAAGTGTTTCTAAATAAATTTATAATTTGACCAACAACTCCATGACAGTTACGGATCACAGGCATCGACATTGCATTCGCAACAGCAAGATTCAAACGGTGACTTGCACAGTGATAATATCTTGCGTTATGATACTGGTTTTTGATTCTTTTCTGAACTCCACTCAAACGACCTGCCATATTTGCGGCTCCATCGTATCCTTGTCCGACACACTTATTCATGTCAAGTTTAAGCTCCTCACATCGCTGCAGAATAACGTTACTAAGATTCACGGAACATTGATCATCTATGGGGACAAAACCAACAAAATCTTCTCTTAATACTGGAGTGGACGAGTCCTTTGTAAAATCAACATACCGCAGACATATCGATAGTTGCTCAGTGCCAGAAACATCCATTGTTTCATCTCCAAGAATACTGAAGCAGTCAGTGTTGTAAACTTTGTTTATAATTTTTTCAGTAACTATATCGGAAGCTGTTTGTATAATTTCATTTTGCATTTGAGGGCTTAAATAAGTAGCGTTTTTTGCACTGTTTGTGATGTGCTTTTTTAATTCCTTATCTCCCGAATTGATTCTAAAACGTAAAAGAGCCCGAAACTTTCCATCTTTTTTTTCAGGCCGTTCTAAAGAGAAAGCACCGCTATCATTATCTCCTCTTAAAGGTAATTCCTGCTCTCCGCAAAATAGCACTGTCTCAATAATTGGTCTTAAAGCTGCCCTGTTCTCTTCTTTCTCGTTGGCACGTTGAATATCTAATTGTGACAAAATATCAAGCTGCTTACCAGACGCTACATTGAGAAATGATGTGGCTCGTGTATCGCATACTTCATGATATTCCATATTCTTGTGCTTTTTGAATAATTCGATGGCTTTCTTCCAATCCCGACAACTAGTGGTGACTAATTTACCTGGATTTTGATGATATCCTTTACCAACTCCTTCATGATAGAATAACCAGCATTTTTTGCAATAGACCCCATCTTCACTCGTTGAGTAAGCCAAAAAATCAAAGCCATCTTCAGTGATCCATGTCGGTTGGAAACTTCTATTACCTGATTTGCCTGCTGTAACGGGAAACCTGTGAGGCAGTTTCGGAAGTAAAAGCGACGTGAGTATATATTTTTTGGTAACATCATCCAGAGAATCACGATTTGCTTTTCCAATATCGAATTGGTTAGCTTGCCATAGAGTCGCAACAATGTCTTGATCGCTGTCTTGGTTACATTTTTCTGATTGGCCGTCATCAATAACTGAAGGTAATATTGCATCCTCATCTGCGAAAACAAATCATAAGTTCACATCATTTTAGTAAAAACTGTACGAAATATGATATCTGCGTATAATTGTAAAACAATGTACCCACCTTTTTCGCGATCATTCGGAGCAGAATTATTCGATCCAGATGCGAACTGCGGTTGCTATCGTCATTATTTCCGTATCTGTGAATATGCTCTTCTGAAAAAAGACACACAAGGTTGCAAATCACTGATGTAGAATACTGTTTTTATCACATCTGTTCAGGTTTGTATGAAGACAGTAGTAAATTCAAAAGTTGTATGCATTTTTGAAATTAGTACTGAACAAGCACTTATAGAAGTAAGACATATCTGATTATCACTTTAAACTGAAATCATTCCTTTTATTAATTTTTGTCTTTAATTTAGAAGTTATCCAATTCATTATCATTCCTAGGTGATCGCTGTGGCACTCACTATGAAATACATGAAAATTCGAACTTTGAGCAATAATATTGCATGTGCTTTGATTGCAAAATATCCCTGACAGAACGCTTATCATATAGGATATGCATAGGATATGCATTGAATTAGCACGCAGCTGTGTTCGCAGTTAAGTGAAAAATAAGCATTCATTATTTTATACAAAATTAATGCAAATTTGTGTAGAAATTGATATACATTAACACGTAATTAACACGTAATACATTAGCACGTAATACACACGTAATTAACACGTAATACATTAACACGTAAGTATGCACATCACGCTACTTACCGTCGAGATTTTCTTCTATGGTGTCGCTTTGTGCCTTCGGTTTTTTGAAGAACGAGATTATTNACTTACCGTCGAGATTTTCTTCTATGGTGTCGCTTTGTGCCTTCGGTTTTTTGAAGAACGAGATTATTAATTGTCAATTTTATTGTGGCTTGTTAACATTTTTTATTTTTAATATTTTT